AACTCTACGGATCTATGATTGATGTGCTAAGAAAAAGACATACTCAACGTACCTTTAATAAATATTGGAAACAGAAATAAATCCTACAAAAAATCGGTGTATCTGGAACTATTTCTGTAGTATCCGACATTATTTCCAGGAATATATTCTTAAACTTTAGTCACTTCTGAAGAGCATCATATCTCACAGTAACAAAATAACTCATATGTGAGATTTCAAGTAAATACCTAATAACATAAGCACTCGCAACCTAGGTAGAACTTAATTCATCAAAACACAAAAATCCGGTTCCCTGGAGTAAGATCCATAACTTTCCCATATTATTTCCTTGGGAAATAATTCCAATGATGTGACTCCTCACCCGGATAGGAAGATCACAGATTTGCTTGCCAGAAAAATTTCAGTGTAAATCTTGCCACTGCTGCTTCTTGGCTGTAAAGATGGGCAATTACTTAACCTTCTGGAGTCTCAAGTGTTTCATCTATAAAATGTGTATAATAATGTCTATCTTGGAAATATATGGTAACAATAAATGTAGATAATACATGTACAGTTTGTATTATGGTACCTATGATATAATACCTGGGCCAGGCTAAGTCCTGCAAGAAGCCTATGCCAAGAAGGAATTCGATATACATTAGTACCATGAAAGAGCAATTCTTGTAAGGAAGAGGGATGAAAGATAGCTGGGAGAGGTGTTAGACTGTGCTAATATTGCCTGTCACGGGAATCCCATAGAAATGAGTCTATCTTATTACCACTGCCATACTCAATAACTGACTGGAAGTAATTTGTGCAGAGCTTGGCATTGGTGTAAATGTGATGATGGCTTTGGAACGTTTAGTGCTGAGGGTTGTTGATCAATTACCATGTAGCAACTAAAGATCTAAGAGACAAATTTTCATGATTGCTAGGCTCTGCACCCTTTGCAGCACAGACCTATTTTTCCCCAGCCAAGTTCAGGGAGCATCTGTTTCATGGGTCCGTGAATTCTGAAACTTCCTGAGGAGGAACTCAGAAGAGGCCCGTTATGGAATCACTGTAGTCCCTGTGGTTTCAGTCGATCTCAGGACCTCAGGTCCTTTGCCTCTCCTTCCTCTACTATCCAGTCTGGATTCCCCTCATTTATCAATCTGGCAGGTCATAGTGGCTGAACTGGTAGCCTGAATACATCTTTAATTCTTGGGGGTTAGCATTTTCAGGCCACAGTTGTTACAAAAGAGTAACAAGAGGCTCCAGGTGTATCAGCGGGGTTCCACAGGTTTCCCTGTCGCGATTGTGTGAAATGAGCTTAAATGCCCCAAGGAATGAACGTATTATGAACTACGTGTAGTGGCTGCGGGAACTAGCTTGCACCAGCTAGCAAATTTTCAGTGAGATCATGCTGATAGCTTGTACTTGACATGGAGGGAGTCTTCATACCACATAAACAAGAAAATGTTACAAATATGTTGCCCCCCCCAACCCCCAAGGAGAACCAGCTGTTAATTATTTACCAGCGCATCAGTGAGTATGTGATACTCTCACACATTCTTTACTGGGAAGTCCATGCCCTCATTAAGCGATATGCTGTGGGGTGCAGTGTTTGTGGATCAAGCATTGTAAAGCTTGTAATGCTGGCTGAGCCTCTGTGAGTGGCAAAAGCAAACTGTGCCCAGAATGGGTGTATATATATATATATATATATATATATACATATATATATATGTATATATATATATATACACACATATATATATATGACAGGACAAAACCCTGACCCTGAGATGAGAAAATGGGTCCAGTAGAGTCAGCTTGCTGCAAGCGAATAGTGCCGTATTGGGTACACAGTATTGAAGTTTTATGTATTAAAAGAAGCAGAATTTTTAAAAATATTTTATTTGTTGATTTGTGAGAGAGAGACGGATAGTGACAGAGATAGTGAGAAAAAGAGCACAACAAGGGAGGAGAAGGAGAAGCAGGCTCCTGCTGAGCAGAGAGCCTGACCCAGGTCTCCATCCCCGGACCCTGGGATCATGGTCTGAGCCGAAGGCAGACGCTTAACCATCTGAGCCACCCCTGGCCCCCAAGAAACAGCAGTCTTAAAATTGTGTTCAGACTGTCGATTTACACAACGCCAAGGAAATGCATAGTTTAATACTTCAGATTTGGAATGCCTGGGTTGCTCAGTGGGTTAAGTACCTGCTTTCGGCTCAGGTCATGATCCAAGGGTCCTGGGACTGAGTCCTGCCTCAGGCTCCCTGCTCAGCGGGGATCCTGCTGCTCTCCCTGCCTGTGTGCTCTCTCTCTTACACGTAAATAAATAAAATCTTTAAAAAAAGTACTTCAGATGTAGTGCATATGAACTGGTACCAGATTGTCAATCTTCTGGTTGTCTTTTTTTCTTTTTTCTCTTTCTTTCCTTTTTCTATCTCAACCATCCACATTAACACCTGTAGTAGCAATAAGAAAGTCAATTGAGATTATGATTCACTTGGTTATACGTTATAAACTTTATGAGAAAATAAATAGCCTAAATTGCACTTTGATAGATTTCAAGCATTTCAGTACCAGAGTACACATGCCATTCATTTCCCTCCCAAACCATGAAGGAAACAGTAGTTAAAAATGAAAAAAAAAAAAAAAATCAGTGTGTCTAAATATAAAATCTAAAGTTATAGTTTAAATGTACTTTGAAGATAAATTCTAAAGATAAATGTAGAATTAAATTCAGTGACCTAATTTCCTAGATCAAGTACTTAAGTTAACTTAGAGACATAATATTATATTTCTATATCTAAATTTACCTGAAAATAAAATTACGTAGTATATTCTGGAAATAATGTCTCAATCAAATAACTTATAAAATTCCTATAAAGTTAATGACTTGGTTTAATTTATTCATTTCATAGTCACATATGAAGACTAGCTGCTCAGTGGAGGAAAGACAATGTTTAAAAAATGTAGGTGCTAAAGAAAAAATAGAGCTTATTTATAGCAGCTTTGGGAAAAAATCCATTATGAAATAAATCAGGTTTTAAGTACGTAAAAAGCACTGTTCTCACTGAATAGTGCAATATTTCATGGCTTGAACTATATTAGGACATTTTATTTTGGTACATATATGTTATTAAAGATAATAGCCACTGACATTAGCAATGAGAAGTCTTATGATAAGCAAATTAATAAAAAATGAATGTCCCTCAATATGTAAGTTCAAATGGTACTTTTGATTTTTCATTTTTGCTCTTTTATTTGCTCACTAAAGGGAATAATTATTTTCTCAATTTATTTAGACTTTTCTTTTATAGTTAGTATCTATTTTTCTTGAATCTGTTTTTTTTTAACAATTTTATTTTTTAATATTTATGAACTTTTTACAGATTAGGTAGGCCAATGATATGTTACCGTTTTTGTAATAGTTTCTATCATGGTTTACATTTTAATTTTTTATATTGTTTTTGAGTTAACTAAGGTGGTAGGTGACTCTCAGGAATTTTGCTCATAGTTACTCAGTTATTTATCTGACCATTTGTTTTTGGAGCCCTGGAGTACTTTTTATTCCTCTGCCTGAACTTAACTTTTTGTACTTCTCAGGAACTTTTATTGTATGCCCTTGCCAGGGAGATATATGCCATGTCTGACTTCAAATTGTGACCAAGTTATGATGACTTTCACATTTACATTATCATATCTAATATCTCCTGCACCCTAGCCAGATTCCTGCAACTTGCCATCTGGGTATTGCCCACTCGCCCCAAATAAAACAAGCCCCAAATTATACTGTCAACATTCTCTACCCCCATAAATGTGTTTGCCTAAAGTAAAGAGCAACAGCCATCCCGTGTGAGAAGTCTGAACTTGCTTTATCTCAGATACATTCTCTCCTCCCCCTCTACCACTATATCATAAATGTCCCTTAAATATGCCATTTCATCTTCTTTCCATGTGCCACTGCTTTTGTTCAAATGCCATTTCCTTTATCATTGAGAGACTGGTTTCTTTCCAATCTTTCAAAATGGTTTTTGTAAATTTCCTATTCTAATTATATATATATATATATATATATATATATATGTACACACACATTTTTGTCAGGTCAACTCTAAACTCTTTGTCAAAAAATGCAATTAGCTTTAATTGTTAAGGAAATCTTTACAATAGGATTTTGAGAAATATGTGTATTGTAGTTGGCTTTAGTATCACTTAAATATTTAAATTTTCTAGAATGAAACTTGTATTATGTTCAGAAGCATAAATGAATTTCTTCTTTAGTGAGTCATTTTGATGATAGCGGCAACATTATGTTTTCGATAAAACAGTTTCACAATTAGACCAATACTCATATGCTTTGTTTTATTTAAAAATCAGTGATTTAATATAAAAATTAAAAATTTTTATATTAAAAATAAGTTTATAATACCTGTGCTACTTAGGCAGTCCTTCCAAATTCCTGATAGAAATCAGTAGATGATAATAAACAGACAGTCTTTGACATTATTAAATGATATATGAGACAGTTAAGCTAATTTAGTCTTTGACTTATCCATCATTTACCATCCGAAAGTCTCTTTTGAAGTAAAATTGCAGTTCTATGACTTTAAAAAATATGTATCTGCCCATAATTTGTCATTAAAAGGCATTAATTTTTCAGAAAAATCACTAATAAATGTAATCCCTGTTTGATTCCAGAAGGCAAGGATAAATAAAGCATGAACATTATTTTTACGTCAATGAATTTTACAAATCACCCTTCATCAAGATTTTATGTAAAAATGATTACCATTTATTTTCCTTATGATATGTGAAGAAAACCTTTGTTTTACATTGTGATAACATATTTACTTTTTTATGTTGCTTTGTAGCAAATGGAAGTAATCAGAGATTTTAAAGGTAGTGATGCTGGTTATTACTGCACAAGTAAGACCAAGAAAGGAGGAAAGTTGGATAGGAGGAAATTTCTCAAGCTACTCTGTACTGAACGTGTGGTGTTGAGTATGGTTCTGTTTTGCTTTACACAGGTGATTAAAGCAGTAGAGGAAGGCTACCGTCTGCCAAGCCCCATGGACTGTCCTGCTGCTCTCTATCAGTTAATGCTGGATTGCTGGCAGAAGGACCGGAGTAGCAGGCCCAAGTTTGATGAGATCGTCAACATGTTGGATAAGCTGATACGTAACCCAAGTAGCTTGAAGACGCTGGTTAATGCATCAAGCAGGTATGAAGCCAGACTTGAGAGATTTTCTTCATGTAGTTAATTCACACTGATGCCATGGACATTAAACCAATAAAATCATTTCTATATATGCTAATCTATGGAGCTATATCACACTAATTTATCTAAATACAGTTTTTGCATAGTGTTACTCTCTTAAAATAAAATATTCTTATTAAATAATTTAAATAATTAAAAAGTCGATGCCTAATCTAACAGTGAAAATGCCAGTTTCAATAAAATGTTTATTGTAGCCAAGTTTAGGTACATTTAAAAAAGTAAATGAGAGGTGCCGGGGTGTCACAGTCGGTTAAGCATCAGACTCCCCAATGGATCAGGTAGTGATCTCGGGGTCATGAGATCACACCCCAGGTCAGGCTCCCTGTTGATCAGGGAGTCTGCTTGGGATTTTCTCCCCCTCTTCCTCTGCATCTCCCACTTGGGTGCTCTCTCTCTCTCTCTCAAATAAATAAATCTTAAAAAAAATATTTTTAAAAAGCCCAAATGTGTGTATTTTGATGTGTTTTGAATCTCACACAGGTGTGTATAGGGCAAAATAAGATTATGAGATCACACAGAAAAGCCAAATAAGCACAGATAAGCATCTCGTAAACCAGAGGTATCTAACAATAATTACTCTTTGATTTCTTTATAACAGATTTTAAAGTCTGTCAAATTTTATGAACAATGACAACTCCTTTAGAGATTCTTTGCTTTTATTTGATTGTACACAGATATTTGGCTAATCATCTACTGTGAAGTTGCAACAAGACTTAAAGCTGATAAATGAGTAATTTGTGGAAAAAGATTGGTATGAACAAATGAGCATTTAAAAAAATTCTGAATGCACATGAATACATTTAAATAATCCTGTATATTTGTAAAACATGTTTTTCTTTTTAACCTGATTAATTACATAATTATCCTTTAAAAAATTGATTATGTACTTTAAAAAAATTGCCAGATAGTTATTTTCACTATATTTGAGGCAGTTTTTAATTTTTACAAGAAGTGTGACCAAATTGGCTGCCTATTAGTGTGAACTAAATGAGAAATAATTTGTTAATAAAGTTACATAAGTCCTATGATTCTGACATAACATTTGTTTACTAGGCAAAAAGTCATTTTTAAATACAAATGAGAAATGAATCTTCAACTTCTCTTCAAGCATCATTAGCATTCTGTAGTAACAAGTGGTGAATTTCTCTTCTTAGCAGTTATTCCTGAAATATCTGCTTTTTAATTATTTATTATCACGTAAATACTAAGCATTTCTTTCATCTACTTGTTTGAATTATGTTGTCACAAACGGACATAAAGAAAGGAAACCGTAAAAAGACATTATATATTCTAGATTGCATTAGTTTATATTGGTATCATTATAGATTAGGAGCAGTTTAAGAATCTCCAAAAAAATTTCATATTTTTTGTATGCAATATATAGAATGAGCTAGCTAGGTTTCATTTAAACAGATTTGGCTTAAGACTATGCCATTTACTAACCATCTTTTTTCAGGCATCTACAAATCTTAATTCTAAAAGGTGTTAGTCCTTGTTCATTGTCTTTTCCTTTATTTTCATCCATGTCAAAAACTTGGTGATTTCTGTAAACATGTAGACGATGTTTGAATATCTCTCAATACCCTGAAATGTTCTCTTTCAATGATTTTGGTCTCTGCCTACCTTGAACTCTCCTCCTAATAGTCGTGTTACAGAATTTGCTATTACTAGAATTTGCAACTCTTTCATAACTTCAACTTGAGGATCCTATGTCCCAAATGTTTCTTCCTGTATTTCTATTTTCATCAAATCTTTGACTCCCACTGCTTAAAGGCTACAAGTCACAAGATACCCATTTATTCATCCAAATAGTCACTTGTCCATGTTGTGTCATGCTGTGGAATAGGTGCTGATTATACAGCTCTGAGCAACGCACTATTGGAGGAGGGAGATATTGAACAAAATAAAAACATTAAAGGACAACTTTGGTTTTGCAGTAGAGAGTAAGAATAGAATTTGGGAGGGTAACTCTGAGACTAGATAGTTGTGCAGGTAAGACATGTCTTGCACTGAAGTGGCAACAAATGAGATAGAGAGGAGTGGTCAGATGCGCAATGTATTGGAGGTAGAATGGATAGTACACATAATGGTGGATTGTGAGGAGACTGAGGACAAGGGATGAGTGAACTGTTGGATCATATACTAGAGTAGGGAAGATTTCATGGGGAAGGGATGTGAAAAAGATGAGAAGTGTGGTTTCAGACATGTTGAGGGGATATTCCTATGATAAATATGGAAGTATGAAGTAGCTGTATGAATACATGAGAAACCTAGGCTGAAGGTAAAAATTAGAGAAAAATAGATGCTACGTGAAGCATAAAAGTGGGTAAAATTGCCTAGAATGGAATTCTAGCCTGAGTAGAGAAGATATAGGGCCAAGTCCTAGGTGCCTCCAAATTTTAAAGTCAGGAAAAGAGGTAACAGACATTTATTATTGTAAATTAACAAGTACCCTTATGTAAGAGCATAAAATTGAAGAATAAAGAACTTCTGAGCTTCCTGGAAAATAAGCATAAATGAACTTGAGTTTCTCTAGCCGTCTAAGAGCAATTGGCTTTACACAAATTATCCTTCATATCTAATTTTGGCAGTATTTTCTGTATTATTTTTACAAACAAAAAACAATAATGAGAAGTAAAATCTAAATCACCACATGGAATTTTTAGCTAATGTTTCATATCACAGACCACTTGCTTCTTAAGCTGTTATAAGTTTTCATTGACTACAGGTAGAAAAAAATCTGAATTTTGTGTTCTATATTTTGAATAATTTTCTTCCATGTTAGTATATTTTTCCCTATATATAAACACAAAAATCCATTGATTGTGTGCTAATATCACAATTTGCTATAAAAGAGTTAAAGTGTTACTCTTAATATTGCTATTTTCTGTGTTTTAGGGTATCTAATTTATTGGCAGAACATAGCCCACTGGGATCTGGGGCCTACAGATCAGTAGGTGAATGGCTAGAAGCAATCAAAATGGGCCGGTATACAGAGATTTTCATGGAAAATGGATACAGTTCAATGGACGCTGTGGCTCAGGTGACCTTGGAGTGAGTAATTTTTCTGATAATTTTTACATAATTGCTGGGGCGAGAAAAATTGTTCAGAATCCAATCTGGATGAGGTCAAGGGAAATCAGTTAACCTTTGTCCATGTGTGACAGCTTTCAAGGAAGCCTCTTCTTTTTTAGCCTGTATTGTTAACAACTGCATGGTTAATGCTACTTGTGGCCAGTATCTTTGCTTCTTTGCTTCAAATAAATAACATTTGAATATTGGAATAATTGGAATAACAGCTCCTTGGCAAAATACTGGCATTTTGTGTTGTGGAAAAGATGTTTTTTTGACAAAGTTTTTATACTGGTACTTATGTTATATGAATGTATTTACAAAACAAACTGTAAGCACAATTGGTGTGGCTAGTCCTACGTAATGACAAAAGATTTTCTTAAAATTTGGCTGTGATGAATATCTGGGTAGCAACAGCTCAAACAAAGCTTCCCAGGCAGGAATCTCATCTAATCTCTAACTGGTGCACCTTAATTCTTGCAATACAAGGATATATTAGATTCTGCCTCTGATTGTTATTTGGTACAATCTCAGTGGAACCAATTGTGCCCTTTTCTGTTTGCACGTTTAAGATAACATTTATCAAATCTTATAAATAAAAATCACTAGAATTAAATATTAAATTCTTTAAGGGTGTAAGTTGTTTGTATTTTATTATATACTCTGTATGTGTAATTATTTTAGCCTAATATTTGTTATTTGTGAAAATTATCTGTTGTTATGGTGGTTCCATCTAGCTTACATTAACACGAATAATGTTTTAACCTGTGAATATAATAACTTACTTTAAATTACCTATAGATTCAAAGGTTAAAATATTGTTGTAAGGATTAGAACATGGTAGACCATTGTAAAGCACAAAACCGCAGTCCTTATTCCATTACTTCATATAATATGAACATTGAGCAATTGTCTCTCACCATTTCTAGTCTGGCATTCTTTTCTTCATTGAATTCACAGTCCATCCACACTAAAGGTAACAGGGTACCATCATTTGTCACCAGATAATGTCACATTCTCAGCCTTTCTCTTCGTATCTATAACTATTGGACCTAAAGTCACTACTCAGCATGTTCTCTGAATTTGCTGAATTTCATCCTCACCATCACCTCCAAATTGTATCTATTTGATGACATATATGCTTTGCCCATTATTTCTTTGAATGCTCAAAGAACTCATTTGTGCTATATTTAAGATAGTAAACAGAAAATTTTGCTGATAATTTAAAACTATTTTTACATGATTGCTATTTAATTTTTCAGTAAAAATGGTCATTTTAATTTATTAAAGTCATTTGTCATTTTATATTAAAATGATACTGTAGGTATTTCTTCTACCCAATGTCGGATTACTTGTAAATATATAATAAAATTATTTGCATTAAGCGATGTCTCTCTTTTTATTAAAATAGCACATATACATATATATGTATATATTTACATCCACTATTTTTCACTTCTCCCTTCACAGAATTGTTTTAAACACAAATAATGGTTTTTGCATTAACTGTCTCTCTTTTATTTTATCTCTTTGGGGCCCCAAATATGTTAACCACTTAAACTAACATTATTTTAGTGTTTCATATTTCATTGCTTTTAATTATTGTCTCTTGACTTACTTGTTGACTCCTCTCTCCCCAAACTCTCTCCATTTTGTATGTTTTATTTCATGACTTAATAGCCTTCTATTATCTTCTAATTATGATTCTCCACCCCATTTCTCTTCTCTAGTAGTTTTTGTCTGATCAGTTTTTCTCTACTTGGTTCTGCTTCTTCTCTTTTTCTCTATTGCTTTGGTATCCTGTTGCCTCTTGCTATATTGCCTCCTTTCAGATATTTTGTTTTTTAATTTATTTACCTTAACTGGAATAGTAAAGAGAAATTAGGACACTCGCTAACATCATCCTGTTCAGAGATATTGGTCTCCATGTGTCAGTTGCTTCAGATTCCTGGGCAGATAATTGCCCATTCCTTACTAGAAACTGAGGCAGCAAACCTCAAATCCAGTGAAGTTGATTTCTAGCAGCTTTAAATATATGTCCTCATCTATTATTTTTTAACTACATTTTTCCTATTTTATAAGAACATATTTATCAAAACATCATTTAAATAACTCACAGAATAGTGAGTAATCATTTACTTGCTTGGTCAGGAATATAAGAGAGGGGCACCTGGGTGGCTCAGTGGGTTAAAGCCTCTGCCTTCGGCTCAGGTCATGGTCCCAGTGTCCTGGGATTGAGCCCCACATCAGGCCCTCTGCTCAGCAGGGAACCTGCCTCCTCCTCTCTCTCTCTGCCTGCCTCTCTGCCTACTTGTGATCTCTATCTGTCAAATAAATAAATAAAATCTTTAAAAAAAAAAAAAAGAGTCAGGAATATAAGAGAAAGGTTGTCTGTGTATTTTGCTTGCCCTTCACCAAAAAAAAAATTATTGAAGACACATGGCAAAGTTGCTGGGTTATCAGCAGAGAAAAAGACAAGCTCTTAAATCTTTAGATAATGATTTTTTACTAATGGTCTTTACCCCATATCCAAACACTAATTTTATGGAGGCTGCATAATGCCATAATAATATAATAAAATATTATTGTCAGTGTTATTGCCAAGGCATAATAGAAACTCAGAACTGGAAGTATACTTGTGATAAATTCTTAGATGGGGGAAAAAGTTAAGATCAATTACTATAAGACAAGAGATCAAACTGCCATATACTTAAACTAAAACATTATGTTAGAATTTATGCCATCAAATTTGTTCTCATAGTGGGCTTAGAAAAAAGAAAAGAAAATATTACAATTTGTCAGAACGGCATACTTTGATAAAAATTTTCCTTCATAAAAGTTTAATTTTGTTTGTGATTTCCTCTTTCTTCCTTTCTTCTTCCTTCCCTCCCTCCCTCCTTCCTTCCTTCCTTCTTCCTCCTTCCTTCCTTTCTTTTTCTTTCTTTCTTTCTTTCTTTCTTTCTTTCTTTCTTTCTTTCTCTTTCTTTCTCTTTTCTTTCTTTCTTTCTTTCTTTCTTTCTTTCTTTCTTTCTTTCTTTCTTTCTTTCTCTTCCTTTCCTTTTTTTCTCTTTTCTTTCTTCTTTTTGCACCAGCACACGCATATATGGCTTAATGTGGAAAGGAAATGAGAAACTTAGCAATCTTAGAATTAAAATGTATTCAGCAATGTGGTTTTCAACCTTAGGTGTTTCTGTCTGCCATTCTCTGTGCCTAAACCTTACTATTCTGTGTATAATACACAGAACAATTGTTGTGGCAGTAATAGTACAATCTGTACTTTGGTGTGTAAATGTAGAGACTTCTGGTTGATGGGGGAATTATAAGCTTGTAGTGAGTTGCAAATTGAATCCAAAGATCTGTATTAAGGACAGTAGTACAGTTACTTTTTTAACTTGTTGTCAGACCAGTATTGTCAACTTTTGATTATTCAGAAGATGAGCAAAATCCAACGAATTTAAATATTATGCCAATTGTATATAAATTGAAGAGATTTATGCTAGTATCATTTATTAAAATGGTGTCTTAGACTATTAAAATGGAAGTTTTACAAATTTAAGGCTAAAATGTATGCACACTAATTCAAGTAGATTTCTTATCAATAAAGACATCATGCATAATTTACTATATATCTAAAATACACACAGGAGTACTTACTCTCCTCTGCATTCTACATAATTAAGGTAAAGTTTCTAGTCTAGTTCATAGTTTGTAGTTCATAATGAAGCTAAAATTTCTCGTCTATAGTCTCACCATGTCTCACTCACTGAAAACCATGACCAGTCATGGTTAATCTTTGCCAAATGTAGATATATTTATCTTGTATAGTAGATATATAAATGATTGTCAGGATTCTTCTAAAGGAACCAAAAATTTCAAACCTACCACTGCATGATCAAATTATGACAAAAAGAATAAACACTGGAATTTAATGAATATTTATTAATCTCTCTTCTCCCTTCTCCTATCCAGCCAGTATTGGTAGGGTAAATACCAGTGATATGGCTAAAAGATGTGTAAAGCAGAAGGGAGAAGAAGTGAGGGAATGACTTGCCCATAAATGAATGAGCTAAATCCTGAATAATCAAGAGTTGCCTCAACCTCAACTAGACACCTCTTGCTACTCTCTGTTTTTCATTCTGCCCTTTTAGTATCATAGCACCAGTGTTTTCCCTTGTTTAATATTATGGAGTAACATTTAAAAATATGCTGAAATGTAATTACATCAATAGCAATTCATTATATTCTCAGCTTTTCTAAAACTGGTTGTGTTTTGTTGACAAAAAACAAGTTATTTTTATGTAACAATACTCTTCTTATTATGTTTAAATTCATAAGCTTCTGCTGAAATATAGTTCATCATCATTAGAATTGGCTTTGGGTATGACTTAAGATTACACGTGGTCATGATATATTTAGTATAATATTTATAAATGGAATACATTTAAAATTTTACCTAGCTATAAAATTTCCTATATAGAAAAATGAAATGAGTAAAATGGCATATCTTGAAAAACTTTCTATAAGTAGAGCAGTAACTTCATCATTAAATGTAAAATACTTTAATTTTTATCAAATTTCTCTCACTTTATTACGGCTAACTTGACAATTTAATATATACTCTAAAGAGCAAAATGGCAATTCTTAGAAATCATGAAATTGGAAACAAAACTACTTTAAATACCTTAATGCATTTATTAATATTGGAGTAACGTTATTTAACCTTTTCTAGAAACGTTTTTATAATACTATTTTAATTGTCATTTGTCATATAATTAGAACAAATATTAAACAGGATTTCTTAAGAAAGTTCTTTGCTGGGGCGCCTGGGTGTTTCAGTGGGTTAAGCCGCTGCCTTTGGCTCAGGTCATGATCTCAAGGTCCTGGGATCGAGTCCCGCATCGGGCTCTCTGCTCAGTAGGGAGCCTGCTTCCCTCTCTCTCTCTCTCTCTCTCTGTCTGCCTTTCCATCTACTTGTGATCTCTCTCTGTCAAATAAATAAATAAAATCTTAAAAAAAAAGAAAGTTCCTTGCTTTTGAGAACAATTTTAACTTGCAGAAATGATCTTATTTCTCCCCGAACTTCTCACTGAAAATCACATTGCACAGAGGCATAGGTATATTGTATGCATTATAATCATGCTATTTCTAAATTTCTGCACAGTAATTTGACAGCTATTGAAATGACAAGTCAGATTTTAAAAACATCAGCACTCCATTAAAGACACACATAATTTATGGCAATATATAAAATGCGATGCTGTGTTTTTATAACCCCATTTCTTCCATGGAAAGAGGGATGGGAAACAGGTTGAATAGAGAGAGAGAGAATTTCTGTGGTCTAAGTATCCATGTGCATCTTAGGAGATAATCAGATCATAAGTTGCCCTTGAAATAAAATCTTATATTTAATTCACTGGGAAAATTTTTCAAAAATTAACTTAAAATCTAGATATATGAAATGTTTTGAAGAAAGAAATATTTTATTTGCCTATAAATACAAGCTCTATAACTACATCTACTAATCAAATACGATTCCTCAAAACATCTGTTCTTTAACATGATATAGATGTCATAAAAAATTTAAATATCCAAAACACTGAAACAGAGCTTTTCTTGTGGTCGGTAATGATATTTTGATAAAATGAAGTCCTATTTACGTATAATATAACAACAAGTTAAAACAGTGGCAATAAAAATAAGTTAAACGAGAGGTTTTATGTCAGTGAGACAACCAAGTGTTCAAATGTGGAGCATGTGCAGGCACGCAGACACACACCCCACACACCCCCCCACCCACATGAACACACTTCAAATAGATTCTGGTATTGTATATTCAAAACCTATGCTATTTCAGTGAGAAACCTATAATTTCTTTCTCAGGTCTTTCAGAATAAATTTTAGTGATTATTTTCAAAAGCTCATCCTAATAATTGGATTAGTCATATAAATTGTACAATTTAAGTACATATATATAACATCAGGACTTTCGAACCTGGATAAAACTTATGTTTAACTTCATTTTGATGACTAATTATTTAAATTCTCTAGCAGAGAATGATTATTTCTGGGTTAAGACATTTTAGTTCTCTCACTTGACTTAGGTCTAAACTATGCTAGTGAGCACCCATGAATACCCACATCTACACAGTTCTTCTTGGTTCATAAGGTGTAAAAACATGAGAATGTTAATTAGCTCATAACTGAAATTGCCATGTAGATTGGGTTACCATAACCTCAAAGAAGTATGTGTTCAGTTTCCACCATTAAATGTCTTCTTTCTTTTAGAGTTTTTGATATTAGATGTTATCATGAGAACATTCTCATTTTACAGATAAATAAATGATTGGATGTAATTTGAAGTACTTTGCTCAAAATTGTATCTCAGAGTAATGAGAAATTAAAAGAGTACAGACTTTGGCATCAGGTTCCTGGTTTTAGTATTAACCTTGTACCCACTAGCTGTGTTATCTACTCAAGTGATTTAAATTCTCTAAGCCTTCATTTTCTCATCCATGAATGACTGACAAAAAATCTATGTCATGGAGTTATGTATTTTTCTAGCATATGGGAAAAAGAAATCTTAATTTTCACCTATTATTTTTATATTAGTGCAATGGTTGTCAAGTAGGGGGAGATTTTTCTATTCACAGGACATATGGCAAACACTTTGTCTTGTCACTACAAAGGGTCAACAGTGGTGCAATGTTTCTGGTATTTGGTGGATACAGGCCTGGGATGCTGTTAGATATTCTATAATGCACAGAGTAGCCCCTTTAACAAAGATTTATCCAGCCATAATGCTAACAGGGGCAAAGCTAAGGAACTGATGTAGTAGAAAAAAGAAAAAAAAAGAAAGACAATTAGACTCAAGCTTTTCTTATCCTTATGCTAGTCATTATCTATTTTATAGCCTATTTCATAACTAAGAACAGTGATTTTGTTTCAAAGTGATTTATTTACTGTTTTCTTTTAATTTTTGCCAATGATTATCTTCCATGACCATACACACACACACACACACACACACACACACACACACATATTTTTGTACTCTGGTGTCTTATAGATTTAATACTTTCTAATGTTCAATATTCACATTCTAAGAAAGAAAGAACTATGTTTCCACCCTAAGTATCAATGTATCAATTGCTTCTTTTTTTAGCTCCTTGCCATTTGCTAAAACTCCCCTAAAAAATCGAGAAAACATAAAAGAAAAAAGAAACCTAAGATATTATTTAAATAAGCAATTATTTCCAACATTAATATATGTAGAACATCTGTACCCATTTTTTAAATTTCTATTCTCTGATATCAAGAGATTTACTTGTTTCCAAAGCTGCCCAATTTGACATATAATGATTTTCATGTCATTGTATCCAATTCTAAAGAATTCTAAGATACTCTGAATGCAAAAATATCCTTTGAGTATAATATATTCAATAAAGTAATTATCTAAAGAAATCTAATATGGCAAATAGTTTTGTCACTTAAAAATCTTGATTTGTTCCTTTTTCCCCTGTAATTAATGCTGCCATTTGCCAAATGTACCTGAATAATTTTATTTGCCAAATACATACCCTAAGGGTATATAATTTCTGAATAGCCCATGAAATAACAAGTAATAACCATGGGCATTGACTGTGGGTTCCATAATATGCTGTTAGTTTAGAATTCTAAACATTTATAATTTCTTTGGATAATAAGCTTGTTTAAAAGAAACAATAACGATGTATCTTGGTTGAAAAGACTTTCTGAGAGTGTGTAATCTTCAGAATGCTCTAAGTGCTAGTAGAGCCTAGATATTATTGGTAAAGGAAGAAAGCTCTAGTACTTTGGGTTCCAAGTAAAAAATAAAATATTTGGAAGTAGTATAAGAGCAATGTAGTGATTATTATCCCATAAAGATATCTGTTGTATAAAATGATTGTACTGACTGAGTCATATGAAGAGTTTGGTCTTCAGCTGCTTAACTGTACAATTTTCTAAAGTATATTTTATGCTCCCTTCTTTTATCAAAAAAAAGAAAGTTATTGTTCCTGTGGTAGGTCCATATTTTCAAAATTGTTCAATGAAATTGTACCTTTAATTTAAATGTTATTGGTAAGCATGTGCAAATTTATTTTTCCACCACTCTGTGCCAACAAAATAATGAAGCCTCAAAAAGGGAGAAAATATATATGATAGTTCTCCTTATTATTATAAATTATATGTTTGGCTGCAAACAGATTTTCAAGGTACAATTTGGGAACCTGCCTTTGAAAACTGGACCCCATATATCTAAATCGGGACTGTAATCTAACTAGTTTGTGCAAAAGGTTTGTGTCTTTGCCGTGTGAAATATTGAGGTGTGCTACTAGTTGAATCAATACATACATCCAATGTGTGCTTTCTTACTGCAGGGATTTGAGACGGCTTGGAGTGACTCTTGTTGGTCACCAGAAGAAGATCATGAACAGCCTTCAAGAAATGAAGGTGCAGCTGGTGAATGGGATGGTGCCATTGTAACTTCATTTTAGTGTCACTTCGTCAAGTTAATGATTCTGCACTTTGTAAACAAGCCCTGAGATTTATTTTAACAAACAAACAAACAAACAAAAAAAGGGAAAAAGGGAAAACTCAGTGATTTCTAAACCTTAGGAGAGCATTTGTTTCAGCCACAGAATTTGTAATCAGTGTTTTGCTAAAATCTCCTTATCTTCCTCAGTGTCTTCATTTTTCATGAAGCAAATATAACCTGCATGGAATAAAAACATGAATTTAAACATTATCTTATGTTGCAACAAGAAAATCATTTCCGCTACTTCTACAAAATTTTATAAATGAAATATATAACTATATAGAGCACCTTTACAGACGGAATTAAGGCAGCCCCTTTCAAAACTTCCAAGAATCTACTTGAAAGGAAAAGTTTATAGCCATTCGTGGGCTAACAAAGCTGCAATTTACTGAAGTTTACTTCAAGTGTTAATCGTCTACATAAGTGTATTGAAGAGCAATATGATTAGGTAATTTCTTAATAGATACCTTTTTTTGTAATTTTAAAATGCTGTTACACAGCGTTAAGTTATAGACTCTAGTGTATAAAAATGTTGCTTGATTAAGGACAAGTACAATACAGGGTGTATATTTATTTTTCTGTGTTATAAAATTTACTTTTAGTTGCTCTTCTAGAAACCATTAGGTAATCAATGTGTATATACTGTATAATTTGCTATATACCCAGGAATCAATTTAAGTTGCAGTTTTGTGTGTGATGCTTGCACATGTGTGCGTTATCATTCTGCTTGCATTTTTGATAGTTTTAATTTGGGCAACATACAGGAATAAGTGCTCCACAGTGTAATATGAATAGGAGAAGTAGGGAAGCGGTAAAACGAAAATTTAACACAAGCTTGTGTCTCTCTTCCTCTCATGTATCCAAAAGCTACTAAATCTCTTTATTCACTAACAGGAAATGTCTATAAGATTAAATCCCCTTTGGCTTTTTGAAAACACTTTGTGATATCTGTGACAATGCAGTTCTTCTAGCCATTAATCTTGCACCCCTGTAAGAAATTTCACCTTTCTGAGTCCCAGAAAATATCTTGTCAAGCAAAGTTGACACCGAAGGGCACATTTTCAGCAGGATGTAGAAGGATTTAACTGTGCAGGCTTCTGTTAATGTTGTTAAATCCAGGCACATAGCACTAAGCGTTACCCCTAAGTGTTAATCCTTTGTAACCGTTTCCCTTGTGGTTCAGCCCTAGAAATTTTGATGCTAAGGCAGCGATGGAATAATGAAATACACACATACACACACACACACACACACGTATATATAATATATCCTTGTTTCAAAACTTAACAAATTTTATTAATTGATAGCTGTTTATTCATTTGGTAATTTCTTCTTATATTCAGTTTCATCAAATTGAACTCATTTTGATAAACCAGTCCAAAGTATTATTTAGTTGACCTTATTAAGGAATATAATATATGTTCTATGTACATTCTATGTACCACACTTGGTGAAGACAGACTTTTGTGTTATAAATTATATGGTTCATTAGAATTTGAACAAAACTGAGCTTCTTGGTGAAATAACACATTTTTTATAGTATTACATTTTATAGAAACCATAGAATGATGTGATTATTCAAGGAGCACTGCATTTGAACAAAATATAGCCTATTTATGATTATCAAGGGCAATAGTATATTGGAGTAGTCTGGATTAATGAAATCCATAGAAAATATACCTGCATGATATTAATGGTATTCTGTCTTTCCAAGCACTTGCTTTAGTTGAATGTTAGCACACACAAGAATAAACCTTTAAGGAATAACTTCTTTCTACTTTGCCCACTTTTTACTTAAGCAGTAGGGTAACTCTTTGCTAAAGAACCTGGCAAAAAAAAAAAAAAAAAAAAAAGAAAAAAGAAAAAAGAAAAGGAAAAAAACAAAGGTCTAAACAATTCTCAGATGGTATATTTAGTTCAGCCCAATTATGGCTATAATTTATTAGACCTACACTGTACCATGGGTCCTAACAAAATACACTTCAAGTATATTTTAATAGATTAGTGAAATTTGCAGAGGAAGTAGAGAAGGTGGATTTAGCATTGTCTTGATAAAATCACAAGCGGGCATCACTATCATGAAAAGATGCCTTTGTTCATTTCAGGAAAAGAAATGAACTAATTCTTTTTATACAAAACAATTGGAGATATATTGCACTTTATTGAATTTTGTAAAAAAAAAACTGAATTTAAGTGATAAAGTAACAATTGAGAAACTTCAAAGTAGGAATAGACATACTGACTCTAAGTACAAACTATCATAAATGTTAGGACTAGCCACAATGACTCACACATAACAAAGATATTTTCTGAACTGTCTTTAACTTTATATGTTCAAAAATGATTGGGAGATCAACACAGAGATATCTAAGTGATTAGAATTTATTATTCAAGTAGATTTCCTTTTTTTCTACAAAAGAACAAAATAAATTAATATGGATCGATTCCTTTGCAGTCTTGGTATTCCTTATGGAACATAAATTGAGATGAAAGGTAGACACATCAATTTCATCTATATATCACTTTGGTTGAGAATTTCTAAGGAATGAAATATGATTTTAAAATAAATAAAGAGACTTTCAAATAAGATCTGCTCTCCCCCACATAAAAAAAGAGGAAATAATTCCTTTCTAAAATACTTATTCACCACTGGATATGTCACCAATTGGGAAGTGCCAATCTCATCTATAAATGTGAGAAGTGGAACCAGGAGAAGAGGCGGCTCTTGTGAAATGCGGGGAGGCAATAACCCAGGGCGAGGTTTGACAAATCTTGATTGTGTGATTTCTTATCCTTTTGGTTCATTTTGTCACCCGCCAGACAACCAAAAATAAAACATAGACTCAATAATTTTAGCACATAAGATAGATTTGTCAAATAATACATAATGTTATTGTAACTATCAAGTAGCAATACCTTTAAAGCATGAGTCATTCTCAATGTTGAACTTGGAAAATAGGTACAAGCAGGCAGTTTTTTTCAATTTACTGATACCTGTTGAAGTCACTCAATTTCTACTTCTATCAATCATAATTTGTTTCCTAATCTTCCCATTGGCTCACATGTTCTTCTTGGCCATTGAAGTATCTGAATTTTATGTAAAAATGTAAAGATTTTGTTTTTCCCATGTTAAAAAAAATGTGCATGGTCTCTTATTTCTTCTCTTTTAATCACCAAGTCAGTGTTCTAAAGTTGTAGGATTACTATAAAAATTATATTCCAATACTCTATCTAAACTTAAATGTGGCCAGCATTATTGGTTTCTGCATTGCCAAAACAATACAGGGCATCCTTTGCTGAGTTTGTAAAGAGTTTTAATCAGTGTCCAATGGTGAGGAGATAGTTTCACATCTTAAGTTTAAAATGAGAAACTACTATCTGTTGAACACTTAATGTGTTTGCATGTCTGCTATTTACTCTTTATGCGAAAGTCAAAGATTTTTTTTAACACCATTCTTTCTCTTATTCAATGTGGGCTTGCAGAAGCACAAGTAGAAAAATTTACCCGTGGAAGACATTTTTGTTTGTAATGGTGTGTTGGATGGCAAATTGGCGTCAGATGTTAGAAATTTACTAGATGTACGATGTTGCATAGTAGAATAAGGTCTTTTCCCCATTTTTTTCTTTCTAAAAATAAGAAGACAATATGCTAAATATGATATAGTAAACTGTCTTTGCTTATGTCCTGCCAGATGTTTAAACTCTAAATAAATAAAAAGTAGGTACAATATGATGATGATGATGAATAAACAATCAAAATGCTAGTTTTATTTGAAATTAATAACTAGAATATGTCATCATTTTTTCAATTCTGTAGCACAGCTGGTTACATTGAATATTTTTCTCTATTATGCTGTTAATTATATAGTAATGTATCAAAGGAGAAATAGATAAGAACTTTCTTTTCAAGTTGGTTTATAAAAAACATCTTTTTACATATAAATGATTGAATGTTCTTATTCAGAATGACCACAAAATTATTGCTTAGGAGAAGACACAATTCTTTAAAAAGAGAGCAAGAGAGAATCTATTTATAATAATCAGAATCAAATGTCATTTGTTTCTTCTAAATGTAAATGAAAAAAAATTGAAGGTGGCAAAATAAGTCATTGTTTATTCAGTCTGGGCTATATTAACATTAGAGATTACAGTGGTCAACATATTTGTGAATCTTTAGATTGCTATAGTTTTACATTTAATAATTTTACAGTGTGTAAATTTCATTTATAATAGCTTGAGAATAAAATTTAGGCTCAGTTGTTTGTTAATATGTTTATTAAATTCACTTAGTTTCAGGCAGGTCAAAAGCAGCTGTATAGAGCGTCTTATTCTAGGCTAGGCATCAGGATATCTCAAATCCTTGCCTAAGCATTAATTCACGAAAGGATTAGTGTCTCTGTATTTTCTTCCCCATTTGAAGCTCTCTGTGCATTTGGTTTATGTATATGTTTTTGTAGTGTAAGATATGAAATTTTATATTTTTTCAGAAAATAAAAAACCCTTTGAATACAGTTAAATCCGATTGTCATGCTTGACCCTCCCCCAATAGATTCTAAAGTCTTTGTATAAATATTTCAGTTAGTTCTAATAAAAATGTTTGAATTTCCTATGCTAAATATTTAAAATGCAATCAGCATTCATTTTCTTCCAAGACATATTCATGAATCTTTGCATTCAAGTATTTTTGCAACTAGGGTTTGACATAAGACTGTAGGACATGAGCATAATTGTGTGAAACCTAATTAGAAGTTGATTTGTGACAGTATAATACAGCATTACTTGAAAAAAAAAGCAAAAACAAAAACAAAAAAAACCAGAAGACTCTGTGTACCATCTGCAAAAAGAGACTTTGCTGTGTAGCATAGTTGGTCATCATTTCACTGCCAAGCATCTGCTTGTGGTTTGGATGGAGGAGTTACATCCTTATAAGAAAGGGTGTCAGTAAGTACAAATGCTCCCTCTTTTTCTGTATATATTATATCATATTGGTCTCCTTTTGTAAAAAGCATACCAAACAATCTGCTGTATTCAAGGAAATTTGTCATATTTGTAAATTTTTGCATTTACATTCATGAAAAGTGACATCACCATGACTATGGAAATAATCCTTAACTCCTTTGCCTATACATAGAATCAGTATTAGAAGGTATATATATATCATTTACTATTTTAGTAAATGGCCTCATGTAAAGACTCTGAGTACTTTGTTACCAAATAGACTATTCTTGCCTCTGCTTTGCTGCAAATGTAAAGATCTCATGATAAAAGGGATTTGTCTCCCAATCCTATGGACATTCTTGATCAGGTAGGAAGGATGGTGTGGTGGTGGGAGGGAAATGTTTAATAAAACATTAAAAAAAAGGGGACTATTCTGTATTATAATTTTCCACACTGTATTATAATTTTATTGTCTCCACTTTATTGATGAGGACACCATGACCCAAAGCTGTGAAGAAATTGCCCAAGTCCCTGACTGCTCTTCAAAGGCAGGGTGAAAACTACATTTATTTGAAACCAAACCCAAATATTGACCAAGCTATCTAGATAATGGAATCATTAAGGCCAATCTCCTGATTTAATTGGTGCAAGAATTGAAGTTCAGCAAGAAAGAAATTACCTAAACTTTTTCACAAAGTGAGGTGTAAACCTTGGGTGGGAATCAGGATTTGACTGATTACATTTCTAACATATATGATTTTTAGAGTAAGCCAAATCTTGGGAGTCAAAAATAGTTTTGCTTATTTGTAACTCTTCCACTGAATAGGAGCACAATTTATTTCAGTGCATCTTTCTAGTATAGGCATAGTTTTCTCAACTACAAACACAGAAGATTGCATTACATATTTTTTATTATTTCCAGCTATACTATCTGAACTTCAGTTGTGGAACTTTGAAGTCTACAGGTGATTCATGACCAAACTGTGACCAAAAGTTAAAAAAAAATTGATATTTATTATAGTTCATAGTAGCCATTTAAATCAAATAGAGTTTTATATAAAATATTAAGTGTAATTTTACTTGAATTAGCAGGCTAAAAATAATAAATTGGAAAAAAGCTGGCCAAAGTACTGAACTATAATTTTTTTCACAGTAAGAGTTATTAGTTCTTAAATATCCCCCCTAATTTTTTAAAGCTAATAATGAAAAATATTAACAGGTTGGGGTTATTAATTTCAATTTGAAGTTTCTCAGTGATCCTGTTTTCAGAAATTAAAAATTTGTTCAGTCCTTCCTCATAACAGTCCTTC